AAAAAAAAAAAAACAACTGAACACTTTTTTGTCTTAAGAAAGCCATGTAGGAACTTCTTGGTTTCACAGTCAAAAGAAATTGGTTCTTTGGATCCCCATAACTATGGACATTATTCGAATTCATTCAGTTTGCCATCAGAAGAATACATTATGTAATTTTCCCCACTGGAGATAATATTGTTTTGCTTGTGCTTATTTCTTGTTAATTTTTGGAGTACACATTTAACATTCCTCTAATTGTCTTAAGCATACTTTAAATGTTCTTCATCAAAGACATAAAATTCAGAATGTCTACTATAACCCCTTCGGCTGTTTGGCAATAAAATCTGACGATTATGGCATTTTTTTCTGTAGTTACGTAAGTTTTGGAAGGGATAGATTTGATCACATTAAGTTTCTGATCAAATATCCCCTTCCCCCCTAAATTTTTTTAAGCTTTCTCACCAAAAGTTCTCCTAGTCCATGTCTACTTTTTTTTTTTTAAGATTTTATTTATTTATTTGACAGAGAGAGAGATAGTGAGAGCAGGAACACAAGCCAGGGGAGTGGGAGAGGGAGAAGTAGGCTTCCCGCTGAGCAGGGAGCCCGATGCGCGGCTCGATCCCAGGACCCTGGGATCAGCGCCTGAGCCGAAGGCAGACGCTTAACTAATGAGCCACCCAGGCACCCCAGTCCATGTCTACTTTGTTAGGCATTTCTTCACAAGACAAAAAGATTAATGCCTTCCTTTAAAATGCTTTGCCAAGATTCTTCAAAGTTTTGCTTAGGCATCTATTCGAATGCTCAAATTAGCCACATCAATTTGAATAGTTAGTTTAAACTATTTCAGGCAGAAAATGAGTCAGAAAGATTTTTATAAAAGTTCTACAAAATGAAAATTGGACTTGATTTCTTTAATTTTTCATTTTTCTGGTTTTATGAATTTTTCATGTGTCAAATCAACTTGTTCTCTGAAGGAAATATAAAGAGCACAGGCATTTTAATACCATAAGTGTCTTAATAAGTTACAAAACATTTTTTCAGAAATTTAAATAAAAAGTGTAATTTTACATTTGCCTAACATAAAATTGTTGAAAAAAAAAAAAGGTAGGGCGCCTGGGTGGCTCAGTTGGTTAAGCGACTGCCTTCGGCTCATGTCATGATCCTGGAGTCCCTGGATCGAGTCCCGCATCGGGCTCCCTGCT